CAACTCAGCCCACCAGGGGGCGGGCTGGCTGGCATGTGGCGCTGGGGGATTGAACCGCGGTCCCTGTGCTTTGCTTAGCTTGTTCCAAGTAGGTGCTTTAGACCACTGAGCCATCTCACCAGCCCCTTTCCCTGACTTTTAACCCTAAGTGTGGAGTTGTGATATACCATTGTCTTTTCTTCCTAACATAGTATCAGTTACCCATATGGGTGCATAAAAAAATACTCCCAATATAATAGGTTCAACAGCAAACATTACCACCATGTCTTTGCATCACTAATCTGGGTGTGGTTCAAGGTTCCTCACAAGGTCACAGTCATATTGAGGCTCCCGAGTGATGATCCCCTTTCAATGCACTGTACTGTTGGCACTGTTTACTTCTTTGTAGGCTGTGGAAGGAAGGCCTCAGTGTTATGTTAACTGTTGGCCAGAAATCCCCACTTCTCGTCACATGGGCCTCTCCACCGAGCATCTCAGAACATTGCAATTGGTTTTCCTAAAGTAATGGAGTAAGAGTAGGCATGGCAGGCAGAGCTGAGTCTTACTGCCACCTAACCTGAGAAGTAACATCTGCAGTTCTCCCACTCTGTTCCTTGGATGCAGATAATGAGGTACAGACCACACCCCACGACAGGGTCACACAGGAGTGTGAGATACAGCAGGTAGAAGTCACAGGGATTCACCTGAGAAGCTTCCTATACATGTGTCTACTGTTACACAAAAAGTTAAGAACTAAGGGGGAACCTACTGTACCCTGGTGAGCTCGGAAGGCACGGACTGTGGAGGAGCTGTGGCAGCCACTGGCCATCCTCCTTGCTCACTCTCAGGGAGCCTTAGGAGGGTCACACAATGGTAACTTAGAGGGACAGAAGGAAAATTCCTTTGCTCTTCACAGAACTATTTTCTTGGTGCAAAATGTATGAATAGTTCTTTGAAATACCATTTACTACAACAGGACAATGTTACTGGTGGAAAAAATAAAACTTGAAAAGCATGGTTCAATACCTAAAATTTCTGAAGAAAGTTCCTTTTAGCAAACAGCAGCTACTCAGGACATTTCAAGGGAGTATTCATTAGCCCAGAGTCCCAGTGACATCCAATGTTGTGGAGTGTGACAGAGCTTGGAAGATGAGAATACATTTAAATAAAACCTACTTCTTGATAGGTGCAGTGCAGAATCTAATAAATCTTCTGTAAGTTTATGTAGAGAAAGACCATAGTAACAGCTACTCTTCTCTTGCTCCCTGACCTGTACCTGGTGATTGTTTTTAACCTTCCTTTGCTTTCTTCTCAGCATACTATTCTTGAGCTCTGCTCACTGAGCATGGCCAAGACCAGTGGAGTCTGCATCTGACAGGCACAGCCTGGTCCTGGCCACTCACCACACAGGTCCTCACTGTCACTTCTGGGACTCGATATAGCAGACCTGGTCCTGCAGGCAACTTAAGACGAAATGTATTTTTTTTTTTTTAAAGTTCATCTGTTCTGAAACTGAGAACATAAAATTGTTCTAAGTGTCAAAGTCCAAGGTTCTTTTTAACAAAAACATTAACTATGATTATTTGTGGAATCTAGTGAATAGGAAATGCCAACTTCGTCCTAGAAAGAAATTGTGCTGTCCAGAGTGGTCTAATTCTTTGCCAGTGCTAGAGACTTCAGAAATTGAGGCAAGGAAATCAAAGCAGAGGGTTTTATTTCCAGTTCAAGGCACTTTAAAGTACCAAATATAGTATTCTTACTGGAGAATTTTTGTATGATCTAGAAAAAAATTCTCACTGGAGAATTTTTGTATGGTCTAGACCAGTGATGGCAAAGCTTTTAGTGTTGAGTGCCAAACTGCACCCCAAAACCTACTTATTTATCACAGAGTGCCAACACTGCAATTAAAACTGAATATCGAGGTTTTAGTTTACAAAAAAAGTCTCATACATTAATATCTTTTGTCTTAAAGGAAGATATAGTAACACACATGACATAGATTCATCACCACTGGTCTAGAGGTCATCTTTAATAAAAATGTTCTGTTTAGAAAATGACTCTGAACAGTCCACGCCAGACATGCACCCCAGTTGTCAGCACAACTCCTGGCTTCTGAAGCTATTGAAACAGTCACTAAAATGTATGAAAACATACTTGGAAAAAGTTATTAAAGGAGGGCAGATTAGAAGAGGAAGCTAGAAGGATATCTAAGGTCAATCTGTCATTTTAGGGGGCTCAGACTCAAATCATTCTCAAAAACTCAAGAGATATAACACACATGTTTAATTTCTACAGTATACATTGTTTCCTTTAGATTAAAAAAATCACAAAAGCAAAACACTGAAGCTTTTCTAATATCAAGCCTATATACTATTAACAAACACTGTTTATTAAGAATTCACAGTAACTGCTTGCAGAGTTATAAGTCCCAAAGAATAATAATAAATCTATAGAACATGATGTTACAAATAGAAAGGGGAAATAGAATGTCTTGAAAAAATGATAAAAGCTACATTTCAAATCTGAATGACTAACAAGCTTTACATCTATGTGGTTGTTTAGAACTGCTTGACTTGAAACTTGGCCACAGAAGCTGGGAGAGGGTTGTGGGAAGACTCAGGGCCAGGTGCTGAGACTGGAGTACTCACTGCACTTCCTTGGGCTTCTGTCTTCTCATTAACGAGGTTGGACCAAGTTGTCTTTCTTTGGTCACCAAACCCCAAATTCCTTCTAGGTCTAATCAACGACTCAAGATTATTTCCAGAAATTGCAAGAAAATAACATTGAACAATCCAGCAGAACCCATTTTGCAATGAGCGTAGAATCAGTGACCTTCAGGAATTATCTCTGGAGTCGCAGTCAGGCTTTTCCTATCAAGTGTCATCAGCTGATACACTCCTGAAATGAGGAAGCACTCTTCTCATCAGGCGGTAACAGTACAATGCTCAGTGCCAGACACTCAAGAGCTTAATAAACAATAATTTTATGAAACATGACAAAGACACTGATGTAAGAGCTGTGGATTCAAAGTTCAAGGAGTGTTCTTAATGTTTGTGATGTGAAAAGCCTTTGCTTTTTAATGTTAAGCTTTTACATTGAATGTGTTCCCCCCACCAAAGAATATGATTAAGTTTCCTGCAATCTGTGGGCAAATGAGTTAACAATGACATATCATAAGGTATACTTAAAAGGGTTCCTTTTTTTGGGGCTGTGGATGTAGCTCAGGAGTAGAGTGATTGCCAGCAAGGCCCCGAGTTTGATTCCTAACAATAACAACAAAATTGTTGTTTTTAGCAAGCTGAGTCTTGCTATGTTGCTCAGGCTAGTCTTGGATTCCTACCCTCCAGTGATCCTTTTGCCTCGGCCTCCGGAGTTCTGGGATTATAGCCATGTACCACTGTGCCTAGCAACACTGCTCTTTTACTGAAAATATTGACCTTCTGGATCTGCATTTAGTGTTAGAAGATACTACATATCTAACACTGGGGCACCTCTGTAATCACTTTTATCACATTGCTAGATTTTATTACTAAAACTTATGGCTTTACTTATAGGAAATAATCTGTAAAGTTTTCTCACTGATATCAAAGATTATATAGCATTAGCATTATTGTGGTACTAGCATCTAAAGGTTATTACTTCTATTCTCTTCCTTATACAGATAAAATGTTTAAGAAATAAAATCTGCTGTCGTCAAAGGTGGCACATACATGTGGTAGTCTCATCTATGGATTCTCTGGTTCTCTAGTTCCAGCTCTGCAAATGGACTTATCAGAAAATGTTCTTACACTACGTTAAATTGTGCCTTCACCAGCTAAAGATTTACATTGTGACTTTTCCTACGTTTTGCATTTTTTAAAATTCTGAGGAAATGTCCTCCATAAAGATCCCCAAACCTTAGAGAAAACTAGCCTTCATTGATGGTATTTTCTATTGTGAAAAGAAAAAAACTATTTCCTTCATTTTAGCAGCCAAAAATTTAGAACCATATTTGCTAAGGCTTTCTTGCTAAGTTGCATAAAACCATGTTATTTCTGTGCTGTTTTAATGTTGAATATCTTCTGTAAAGGCTTTGTATATTATAGGTCTCATCAAACTCTTTTAAAATAGTATACAAGTTTCAAAAATATAAATATGTTTAAGCATACTGTATTGTTTTCTGCTACAATTATATGTTAAAGATGGATTTAATAGCTGTTTTGTGCTAATTTTTATATAGAAATTATGCTAATTTCAGTTATGAAGAATGAGATAATAGTTGTTATATTAACCAAGCTGTTCAAATGTTGGTGGACCTAAATTAGCTACTACAATGCCTATTCAACTTAGCTATTGAAAGAACTTAGTTATTCAGTCTGTTTCTGGCATTAGTTCAATGAACAGTATGTTAAGTCTTTTTAGTTTTCCAGTTTGTTTTGAAAATAGAAAATCATGTTAACTTAAGAATATGAAATCATGAAAATATTATATGTAGATTTCTTATCTCCTGGATATAATCTAATTTTTAAAAATGTATGGACAAAGAAATGTGATATTTATACACAATGGAGTTCTACTATACCATAAAAAGGGGGAAATTTGAATCACTTGAAGGACAATGGCTGCATCTTGAGACAATGTTAGGCGAAATGGACACACTAGTTTACATATCACATGGCTCCTCTTATATGAGAAACCCAAAGTATAAATAAAGACCAAAGTAAAAGATTATAGGAAATGCATAGATAGATGTCTTGTGAATGGTAAGGGGATCCAGAGATGCAGGTAGGGTAAGAAGGGGAAGTAAAACAATTAAGATGTGTTATGAAAGTGTGTCACCTGCCCATGATGAATATAACCACTATGTACTGCCAACATGTACTAACAATAATTTAAAAAGATGAATTTGAAAAATATGATATAGGAAATAACACTTTGAGGCAGTATTTTGCTAAGTATCAAATTTAAAGTCATCTTAAAACTTATCTTTGTAATATTTAAAGAATTAATGAAACCCAGTGAAACTTCAGTCTGATGTCAGTGAAAATTTACTACAAAATGTAGAAAATAAAAATTTATCTCTTAAGTAGCATATCTATATTAATTATAATTTGATAAATGAAGTCCTTTGTACACATCTCTTAAGAGCCAAAATCTCAGTGCCAAAAATAACAACTGACGTATCAAGTAACAATGCATATTTTAATATTTGTGTAATGACTTAGAGCAATAAATACCACACTGTGAAAAATCATCATCAGAAAGAAAAGGCTTATGTACATATACCAACATGTTTATAATAAATTAGAGCAAACAGTTCCATCACAGCACACAAAGCCACTAACGTGAATAGTGAAATAAATCTGTAGTGCAGATCTTTTAGATTTAATAAAGATTGTACAGTATCAAATGATATCAAAAGTCTAAAAAAACACAAGAGTTTTTATAGCATGTTTATAAATTATTGTTTTATATACCATAAAAAACATAAGGTCAAAAGTGCAGTTTAAAAAAAAGTTCAAATTGTTATTTTTGATAATAGCTAGAAAAATGTGCTGTCCCAACAAAGAAGCAATTTAGATGCTCACACTGTTTTCAGAGAATTTTCCTTTAACTCTCATACAACCATGGTTACCATATGCTAAAAAGCAAACCACTAGGAAGGGAGCAAAATAATTGTTTTTACAAAAATAATAGAAAGCATTGATCTGGTCGTGAGAGTGCTGCAAATGAACATAATTACAGGCTTCCCTACAAGCAAATTAAATGACTATTGTGGAGTGAAAGGGATGTCACTGACTATGACCACATGTAGGACATTTTAAAGGCTTGCTAGAAGTTTTCTTCTTTCTCAAATTCTTTGTCATAGCAGCAATGGCACATACATCCCAGAATTTTAAAATTTTCTAGTGTAACTAGGAAAAATATGATTTAAAGGTAATGAATCCTATCACCTACCTCTCACAGAAAGTAAGGCCTAAATAGCAGTCACTAAAAGGCAGTACTACAGAAATTAGTTAAGAAGAAAGGAGTGAAATGAGTCTTCATTGGCACTTGCTATACTAAGAGTCTTGGAAACCAAGGGACAAGGGTCTGTGCAGGATGCTACAGAGCCACTCATGTGAGAAACTGAAATGGTGACACCACAGGCACCTACAGCAAATTAAAGAAAAATAAAAGAAATGTAAGAAAAATCTTATTTTTAAATTTATCATGGGATTGAAATAGTGATAAAGCTCTATCAGTCAGCAGTATTCCTGATGTTACAATTACCAGGCAGCCTGAGCCCAGCTCAACAGGACTTCTCCTCTCTTCGACTGATAATTAATTGTGGTGCTTTGCTCATCTGATGCCAAGCAACAGGTGGTGATGAGTTTTCCATGAATATATTAAGCTCCTTGGTTGGTTTAATATTATTACTGCCTGAGAAAATAAAAACATCACTATTACCAAGGTTAACAGGAGATGAGAAGTTTTGATGGGAGAAAAGGACTGACTGCTGCAAACAGAATGGGTGCTCTGTTGGCTGCATACACACATACTTAATAATTAATGTCACCTTTAGTGGAGATTAAAAGTCGATGGATATGGATGCTTGTGCAGAGTCTTCCCGCCCTCTGACATAAATTTCACAGGGAATCTCTTCCATTACTCTGTCTTCTAGGGCCTGTTCCGGGCACTCATGTGCCTGTTTGAAAGTGTAGCTACTTTTCTTGAAGGTGCTATTGAATGTTTTCATTGGCTGTGGCTGTGCAAAATCATTTCGGAAAGGCAGTTCCATGGAACTGAGGTTGGTCCTACTTTGTTTGACACTGGATGCCTGTGACCCACAGTGATGGTCATGGATGCACCGGGAGGCAGTGGATGAGCGCCGCATTTTCTGGTAGTTGTCCAATTCTTCTGACAAGTCTGCCAGGTCTGCAGAAATCTCCTTGTCCCTTAGTGAAAAGAGTTCATAATGAGGAGGATCAAACACTTCCTGGAACCCAGTTTTATTAAAGGCAGTTTTGCAAGCCATGACCTTTTTCCGGGGCTGTTTCACTTGTACTAAAATAGAAATAATGAGAAGAACCAAGACAATCCCTGATGTAATGCCAATAATTGTTCCATGAGTTTTAGTGATTTGTTCAAACAGTCCAGATTTTTTCTTTTCTGTAGAAAGAGAAAAAGAAACATTGAAGTTTTCAAAATTCACTAATAGGAATCCCAGTACAGATCAGGAAAGTATTTTTAGGTAAAGAAGAAAACCTGGTGGGTCAAATATATCACAGACAGTACATCTGAAAACTAGACTCCTAATGCAGCAATCCTATTATTATGACTGCTGGGTAATCACAATACAACTACATAGATTATAGAAAAGAAAGTACATTTTGATTACTCAAAGGGTACACAAATGCATATAATTTGCAAAACAAATATAATACAATAATATGGAAAATTCTAAAGTCCTGTTGTTCTATCAAGTTCACTTTTCTGCTATATGGCAGGTTTGACCAACTCCTCTCTACATAGCATCAGCATTTTTTACTGATAACCATGAAGAACAGAGAACAAACACAACGAGACTGATCCATCCAAGTGCACCATTATGGTTCACTGTTGCTTTTTCTTTAATTTTGTATCAGTTTTTATTGTTATTTTATTTTATTTTTTATTACATTTAAAAAATTTTTTTCCCTTAATTTTATTGAGAGACAAATAGCAACGAGACAGTTTCAAATCAAATTGGTAGGACAAACTAATCAAGAGAGGGAAAGGAGAAGAGCTAGGAAACATGACAACGTCAAGCCATA